GGTGCGTTCCAATAAGTCTTCCTACCAATATGACCATGTTGCGAAAACAAGGTCAAACAACTTCTAGAAAGGAAGGTAGTTATGGAAACAGCTCAAATGAAACCCTGACTACGGCATATCTACTGATAAAGGCAACATAAGAAATGCGATCAAGAGTACCAGTTATGAAAATACATTTTTAAGGTGTGAGTTTAGGAATTTAGGCTATGATTACTTATACTTGACTGATAAACTTAAGAATAGCGAAAAAGTTAAGCAACCCCCCAAAATAAGGCAACTTATCTATTTAACTCAAAAATGGTTCCAACGAATTTTAGAATTGTTCTAATCATCGCTTGAGCATATCAATATCTCTTCCGTTTGAGTAGTGGTAGCATGACGAAGTTATACGCTGCACTACTCGGGTCCGATTCTCTCTGGGGGCACTGATGAAACCCAGGCGAGGTCAAGCTGCAGGCCAGCCTGGATAATAATGTCTTTCGGGAGGCAAGTCTAATAGAAATCCAATGGAATCTTGAAGCCTTCATAAATAATTTTGGAAAATCCAGCTATCAATCCCTTAACAACCTATGCCACCTAGAGTGAAGTAAGCTCATTAAATTGACTTGACATTAGTTTGGTGTCACGTAATCGCAGTCATGATATTACTTTGGTCGAAAAACCCAGATATGCCTTGAATGACTTTGTCAATTCCCCTGACTTGAGCTTCATGCCCTTATGCATCATAAAGGATGCAAAAATGTAAATTGACATGAAAAGAATCTTACCACCTCCTTCCATATCTATCAATATATATTTCACATTTATGTATGAAGAGTATTTTCAAAAGTATGAAGATCAGGATGGGGTAGCCTTTTGTATGATCGCAGTCTCCTTTCGTTGTATATAAGTTATTTGACCTTGGTTTCGCAACTTGGTCATATTGGTAGGAAGGCTAAGAGGAATGCACCTTGTCCGGAGTCCATAGTATGCATGATTATTTCCAGTCGGACCAAGGGATTGTTACATTTCCAGACGTTTCGCCGGCATCATCAGGTAGTCTTGACAGTCCTAGCAACCAAGTCACAACACGTCAGAGACAAGTGAAGTCAATCCCTTGACCAACTTTCTGTCGAGACGGTTACGCTATCACTCCTCGTTTTGTCCTAGTCCCTCTATACATTCCCTACCCTCTAGTCTCGCCCTCGTCCTATCACAACTTCTGACATGTTTATATTCTCTTTTAGCGAATTTACCGTGGTGTCATCACATCTGCTCTTTGCTTTGCTTCCCTCCCTTTCGAGTGGCTGATCCTGCTCTAGTCTCCTGTTCGGATTTGCTCGTAGGTCCGTTTCTTATCTTTCCGGTTGACTGATTTCCCTCGGTTCTAGCCCTAGCTATTTCTCGAACATTCAATAACACGTACAAAGTAGCCTTATCTTCAGAGCGTCTAGGCTGTGATTCCAATGCCTGCGGATATTGGGCATTAACTTCATGTATTCTTTCCTCCATTAGGCCCGTGAAAGCTGAGCAAACTGTGGGCATCTATCTCTGGTCGCCTGTTGCATCTTAAACAGATTATTAGCCCATTTGGTCACAATGCCCGATTTCTGTGACCCAATCCTTCTCCCAATCACGTGAAAAATCAGGTCCCCAAAGTGTAGTTGTTTATTCGAGCTGACTACTCTCCCTGAAGCCGTCTTCTCTTCATTTCCGAAACCTCCTCACCCTCTTCTTCCTTGCGATCCCTCTTCCTTTGGTTTACGATACATCCTTGATCCAGGCGTCTCCTTTTCGCTTGTCTTGTTGCATCCCTGTTTTCTTCGAGTTTGATTCGGCAATAGGCAAATTTATCACTGACTCTGTCTTCTTCCAATCTCCTGTTTATTACATTTTTTCCCCTAAGGATGTCTATGACCTCCATTATCTTCCGTTTCTTTGTGCTTTCACTATATGAGGCCCTTCGTTCTGGTGCCTTCCAATTGGTTTTGTATCCAGTCTCTGCGATGTGTTCTGATATATCTGATCTTTCAGTATCTATTTTCCTGCAGAGCCTTTGATGTTCCTTAATTCGTATGTCGATCTTTCTTCCAGTTTCGCCAATGTATTTCTGTTCGCAGACACCGCATGCTATACAGTAAACTCGTGAGCGATCCCATTTGTATACTCTCTCGGTTTACATGCCGCACCGCGATAAGGGAATCTGCAGCGTCAAGTTAGGTTGTCATGCCAATTGAGAATCCAGACTTTAGGAGTTTGCTCAGTGAGGCTGGTGTATACCTGCTATCAAACGTTTGAGGCAGAGTGAAGAACAACGCCTTGAGTAGCACGGATACGGTGGCAGCGATGGGATGAAATCATTGAAACAAATAGACAATGGAAGGATGCTACGGAGCAAGAGGGGACTCTGATAGGACACGAAGGGAGAGGATTGCGGATTAGACCGCAGTCTTGGATTAACACTTCCGGTACAGTGTGAGGGATGTGGAGGCTAGCGGGGAGTGTGAATAGGTTTCAAATATGTTTAGATAAAAAAGTAATACGTTATGATATTGAAGGGGTGATACGAGGATATAGGATATGTTAATAGCTCAGGACAAAAGGAGAGATGCCACAACTGTTTAGCACACAATTGGTCAAAGGATCGACTTCACTTGCCTCTATCGGGTTGTATTGTGGTGCTATTAATGGCAAGGCTCACCGACGATGTGGACTATGATGCCAGTGAAACGTCTGGGAATGTACCACGTCTACGGTCCGACTCTGAAAATGACAATGCATACTATGGACTCCGGACTAGGTGCGTTCCTCTAGGTCTTCCTGCCAATATGACCAATGTGTGAAAATATGGTCAAACAACTTCTATGCAACTAAAGGAGATCGCGAGCATACAAAAAGCCACACCATCCTGGTCTTCATATCTGTGTGCTAAAATTTTGATCATTCCAGCCTAAACTTACTGGCGATATCAAGTTATTGTGGAGCAATGAGCAGCTGCATTTGACTTTTGGTTTAAGCAACCGACAATTCTCTTCGTCAGGTCTGTTCACACGAAATAAACGTCACCTTAATAATGTCGAGAATCAGAGAAATTTTGTTTGTGGAAAGAGCCAAAATTCCATTTTGACTGTCCGAACTAACCAAGAAAAAGTGTACTTAATTCGTCCTGAACCAAACTTCAG